AATAGTAAGTGTGGCGGCGGTGGCAGATCAATACCGCCGGAGCGTTGTAGCCGGAGCCACTGATACGGACGCACGCACTCGCTCGCTGTACGGTCTATATAACGCAGCCATCTTCTTTCTTCCTCTCACGTGCACCCTCTCTAGAGGGCTGCCTTGTCGCTCTTTTCTGTCCCCCTCCCTATCTCCTCCCTCCCGCGTTTCGCGCCCTCTCTCTTCTCTCGTGTATCTCTGCCCCTCTCCGGGCTCGCTGTGCCTGTCTCTCCCTTTTCTCGTCCCGACCCTCGTAAACGTCACGCGCAGCCATTTAGATGATGGATTGTAAGCGAACGACCCATACATTTTAATCCGAGACTTTATAGTTTCCCCACTAATGCGGTGCGTGTGCGAGGCACGGCTGCTGCTGCTCCTGCTGCATTCGACAATATAACTTATAAGTTGCATTTGTGCGGGCGTTCGTACGTGTGCAAGTGTGAGTATGTGCATGCGCGCGTGCGTGTGTGTGCGCGTGTGTGCGCGTGTGTGCATTGCACACGAGTGATGGTGTTTTACAGTTACACTCTCGTGGTGTGTAAGGTGTTGAACAATCGCGTTCAGGCGGGATCAGCGTAAGTTCACGTCTGTAATGTGCGCTCCTTGGTGGCCGATAGCTTCTTCCTCACTTTTGTCACGTAACAAGAACAGTTGTAGGCTGTAGCTAATAGGGTTGTCATTGTTATATTTTGTTGTCACTGTACGTGCGCCGCATGCGTGTGTGTGCATGCGTGCGTGCGCGCGCGTGTGTGTGTGTGCCTGAGTCATCCAGAGTGCACTGCTGATTACTGAGATATACTGGTAGTGCCGAATGTTTTTTTTAACTCCTGACTATCTGGGGTGAATGCACCTTGTCTGTGTGAGTGTGGTGATTGATAGGATGGTGTGTGTGTGTGGGGGGGGGGTCGTGTGAAATAATAAAGATTGTAAAGCGGAGATGCGGATTTCGACTGGGGTTGTTTGCCAGGTGGACTGATCTCAAAAGAGGCCGTGGCTGCGCCTATAATAGTTTATTCTTACCGAATCTTACGGAGTTGGTCTGTTTGCCAGGTAGCGTTTGCGGTATTATATAGCAAAGGCCGAGTATGATGAGACGCTGTGTGTGTGTGTGTGTGTATGCGTGCGTGCGTGCGTGCGTGCGTGCGTGCGTGCGTGCGTGCGTGCGTGCGTGTGTGTGGTGCTGGTGTTTACTCTGATGTCAAAGATGATTTCTCTAAAGGGCTACTGGCGTCGTTGGGCGCGCATGCGGCGTAGCAATTCAAACTCAAACTTTTTTGACGATAGAGTCCGATGAACTGACGTAAAATGCCCGTAAGACCCGAAATCCGTAGAAAACGGGAAAGTTTAAAAAGGGCGGGGGGGGCAAAATTCGCGGAAATAAACAATTTACGGTTGTGGCTGTTTGGCGTTCGTAACTTGGTGGTGGCACCCCTATCTGTCAGTGTCAACCCAGCAGCCAAGTTGTTTTCCCCCCAACCCACGCATCTTACAAGACATATAACATAATATATAGGTTGTCAACTTGTCATGGATGTATATATATCATCAAGAGCGTATAAAGAAAGCCTTCTTTATACGCTCTTGATATCATGCATGTATGCACGAACGGTACGTGTGTATGTACGTCAGGTGTACGTGCATGTAATGACGCAATTTATATATATATATATGGTAGAGGTGTTACAAGAAAAAACAATTAACCTGTCAGGCAGCAATCGATGCGGGTTATTGAACATTACGGGGTTGCAACGACGCAGGTGGCGCCAGCATGTGTCGCTGCTAGCTAGTAGCCATTTTGGCGCTTGTTTCACCCGTAGTCATGATCAGACCCCGTTACAAGGAAGCACCATTTGCTTTACAGCGGCGCGCGGGCTATGTTGCGTTGACGCTTTTTATATTCGTGCGTACGCGGATGTGATTGGACTCTCTCTGCGGCCGAGTTTACGTAACACACAAACAGCGATGATGCGCAAAAGTCGGGAAGCCTGTGATAAATCGCTGTCTGCCTGCCCGTCTGCGCGCGCGCTTGCGTGCGTGCGTGTGTGTGTATCTGCGACGAACACGCTGACGTGCTGCTCGGTACGCACACGCACACGCACACGCACACGCACATACACATACACGTACGCACACATGCTGACTATGCGGGCAGGGCCAGCGAATGTATTGCGGCCGAGTATTTCGTGAGTGAGTGAGTGAGTGAGTGAGTGAATGAGTGACTCTGTGGCGCAGGTGATGTTGACGTGTGCTGGCGTGGCGGAGATGATGATGAAGAGCTCGTTTGTTCTGTTGGTCCCGCAGCGGAGGCGCAGACAGAGAGAGCGCTGTGTATCCGTGCGCGCATGGATGCTGAGCGAGAAAAAGGGAGGCTGAAGCAGGAAGGGGATGCTAGGGGAAAATAGGGGGGGGGCTAAAGCAGAAAGGGGGCTGAGGTAAGAAGGGGAAGACTAAAGCAGGAATAGGAAGCCGAGGCAAGAAGGAAAGTAGCAGCAGCGGCAGTGGAGGAGACTCTTTCTCTCTCTCTCTCTCTCTCTCTCTC